AACCTTGGGAGTCAACTTAATGAAAGAGGTGAAAGATCTATATAATGAAAATTATAGCACCCCAAAGAAAAAAATCGAAGTAGATTTTAGAACATAGGAAGATCTACCTTGCTCTTGGATAGGCAGAATTAATATTGTCAAAATCACCATACTTCCAAAAGCACTATAAAGATTTAATGCAATTCCGATCAAAATTCCAATGACATTCCTCATAGAAATAGAAAAAGCAATCATGAAATTCATCTCAAATATAAGAGACCCATAATAGCTAGAACAATCCTTAGCAGGAAGAGTGAAGCAAGTGGCGTCACTATACCAGAACTTAAACTATACTACAGAGCAACAGTAAGAAAAACAGGATGGTATTGGCACCAAATCAGACTGGTAGACCAATGATACAGAATAGAGGACACGGAGACTAACCCACAAAAATACAATTATCTTATATTAGACAAAGGTGTCAGGAACATGCATGGGAGAAAAAGATAGCCTCTTCAACAAATGGTGTTGGGAAAACTGGAAATCCATATGCAACAAAAAATAAATAAACCCCTATTTCTCACCATGCAGAAAACTCAACTCAAAATGTATCAAGGACTTAGGAATACAGCCAGAGACTCTGTATCTAATAGAAGAAAAAGTAGGCCCTAATCTCCATCATGTGGAATTAAGCCCCAATTTCCTTAATAAGAATCCTATAGCACAAGAATTAAAATCAAGAATCAATAAATGGGATGGAATCAAACTAAAAAGTTTGTTCTCATCAAAAGAAACAATCTGTGAAATGAATAGAGAGCCTCCGTCTTGGGAGCAAATCTTTACCCCTCACACATCAGATAGAGCACTAATCACTAGGGTATATAAAGAACTCAAAAAGCTAAACATCAAGAAACCCAAATAACCCAATCAACAAATGGGCCAAGGACCTGAACAGACACTTCTCAGAAGATGATGTACAATCAATTAACAAATACATGAAAAAATGTTCATCATCAGTAGCAATTAGAGAAATGCAAATCAAAACCACTCTAAGATTTCATCTCACTCCAGTCAGAATGTCAGCTATTATGCATACAAACAACAATAAGTGTTGGTGAGGATGTGGGGAAAAAGGTACACTCATACATTGCTGGTGGGACTGCAAATTGATGCAGCCAATATGGAAAGCACTATGGAGATTTCTTGGAAAATTGGGAATGGAACCACATTTGACCCAGCTATCCTTCTCCTCGTTCCATACTCAAGAGACTTAAAAACAGCATACTACAGGGTCAAAGCCATATCAATGTTTATAGCAGCACAATTCACAATAGCTAAACTTTGGAACCAACCTAGATGCCCTTCAATAAATGAATGAATAAAAAAATATGGCATATATACACAATGGAATGTTAGTCAGCAATAAACAGAATAAAATCATGGCATTTGCAGGTAAATTTATGGAGTTAGAGAAGATAATGCTAAGTGAAGTTAGAAAATCAAAAAAAAAAAAACAAAAAATGATGAATGTTTTCTTTGATATAAGAATGGTGATTCATAGTGGGATAGGGAGTGGGAGTATGGGAGGAATAGATGAACTGTAGATAAGGCAGAGGGGTTGGAGGGGAAGGGAGAGGGCATGGGGTAATTAATGCTGGTGGAATGTGGCGATCATTATTATCCAAAATACAGGTATGAAGACATGAATTGGTGTGAGTATACTATATATACAACAAGAGATATGAAAAAATGTGCTCTATATATGTAATAAGAATTACAATGCATATATAAATGAAAATTTCATATATAAATAAAAATGTCATATATAAATAAAAAACTCTGGATATAAGTTGTCTGATTCTCAAATTAAAAGATGTAGACTGGCTAACTGCATTAAAAATCAAGAGCCAATAACTTGTTTCCTGAAAGAAACTCACCACATAGGCAGAGACATATATAGACTGAGAAGAAAAATATTAAAATTGATATAGCAAGCAAATGAATCCTGAGAGTAAACAGAAGTAGCTGTATTCATATATGAAAAACACTCCAAATTCAGAAGAGAAAAATGTTATTGCATATGAGTAAAAGAAATAAAGATTATATGAAGAATATATAAAAATTACAAATAATTATGCACTAAAGAAAAGAACACAGAATTTTATTTAAAAACACTCATAGGATATAATGTGGGAAAAAACTTCAGTACAATACTAGTGGTATCTTTTTTTAAAGAGAGAGAGAGAGAGAGAGAGAGAGAGAGAGAGAGAATTTTTTTTAATATTTATTTTTTTCAGTTTTTGGTGGACACAACATCTATATTTAATTTTTATGTGGTGCTGAGGATCAAACCCAGCTCCCTGTGCATGCCAGGTGAGCATGCTACCACTTGAGGAACATCCCCAGCCCCTAATGGTATCTTAATATCCCATTTCACTAATAGATTTGGCATGCAGAGAAAACATCAACAAACATACATCATAGTTACACTACCATTATAAATCAACTTGACTTAGCAGATATTTACAGAATATTTCATTCAACATCTTTAGAATACACATCTGAGGAAGCAGGACATTTAAGGAAGAATAGAGAGTCTGAGATTCAACCAAGAACTGTCTAAAATTTATAAGGCAAATGGAGAAATAGCAAAGCTGTAAGATGGAATAAGAACAGCCAATAAGGTAGAGTGACCTTAAGAGGAAAAACAAAAGTGGATAGCTGAAGCTTCCTATTTTCCAGGGATATTTTAGGTATTATCATTTAAGTGTATGGTGGGGTTAAAATATCAGCATAAGGAAGAACTAAGAATTTGTAAAATAACATGTTACAGTGAGGGCAAGAACATATGTGAGAGAAGCACATTTCAATATGGGCCAGAGGTTCCATCAGAGGTTGATTACAAATTCAAAGAGAATAGCAGGATAATTTCACACTATAACAAGATACAATACTTGTTCGTTATCAGCAATCCTTGCTTAGTCTAGTGAAGGCAGGGAAGATTTAGGTATTGGCACAACCACTCTTGCCATTGACAGATAAGGAAGAGAGCAGGGAGTTGAGTGTACTTGAAGGGAGAGTATCATAATGGGGCATCATATTGTCTAAGTAGGGTAAGAAGAACATGTGCAATTCTGAAGAGAGTGGAAAACTGATAAGAGAAAGCATTTGGAATCTGCATGAGGATAAAATATCTGGAAAAGGAGCATCAAGAATATGTGCCAGAAGGAGAAGAGGAAACAGTCACAGAAGAAACAATGCAATCAAGGTCTCAAGCTGGACAGGTAGTGATGGTCAATAGTGTGGCCATACATGGAGATAGGGTGGGAGGGAGCAGAGTTATGCAAAGGGAGAGAGTCAGGAAAGGAGAGGCCAGGATGTTATCTCAGTATGTTCAAGGATCATGGCAGCACCAGAACAGGAGACAGAGGAGCCTGGTGAGCTGGTACTGCAGCCTTTCTGGATGATGGGAGTGGTTAAGCTGGAGAGTGACACCATCAGAAGAGGTAGGTGATGCCACTTTATGGGGCAAATTTCAAGTAGCTGGACATGGAGAAAAAGAATGGAAATTGTTGAAAATTTCAAGGCGCACCAGAAATATTCTAATAAAAGGATACAATCTTATTCTAAGACTTTACCTTGAAAATAAAGCATGTTGAAAGGGAAGCATAGAGCCTCCAAATGATGAGGACATTATTGTTTTCAGAGGACAGTCAGGATTTTATCAGAACAAGAAACTGAAGTGGACATTATAGGTCTTAAGAAATTAGAAGATAAATAGCCTCCAATTTCCAACAGGCCCCATGGAATGTTTTCTGTGAGAGGGATAAATTGGCATATTAGTTTCCAGTAGGATGTGGATAAAGTCTCAGAGGATATAGTATCAACTAAGACTACTGGGACTATGAGAAGATAAATCTAAGAAGAAAATAAAGGAAGACCCATGCCTCATCTCAAAGCAATTCCCCATAATATAGAGATGAGAAGACTAACAAACCACTTTTCAACGGGATTGTTATTGGGGCCACGCTTTGGAGATACCTCTAGCTCTTCTTACCATTCAGGTAATCATGCATCTCTCCACCCACCCTCTTCTTGCTCTACACATGATGAGATTTTATCAGTGCTTCTCAAGGTCATTAAGCTCTTCCCACCTCAGTATTTACACTGATAAATACTCTACTTTCTTCTTTCATTGGACCTCTACTCCTACATTAGTTATCAAACTAAAAATGATTTCTTTTTTCCTCAAATCACACATTTCCACCATACCTTCATGACACTCAAATTTATGCATAATTTTGTTGTCAGGCTGGAGTGTAAAATCCATGAAGACAGTGGTGGTGTTGTTTTCTGTGTCTGTCCTCCTGCCTGGAATTAAGTTTCTATCTACAAATCACTAGATTACTTTCCATCAACAAAATGACCTGAGAGACTGTCCTTCTGGTGTAGATGGATTTCAGAATAAAGAGCCCAATATATTTGATTTCACAAATTGCCCCTTACTAACTTGAAAGTGTGAGAGATATGAAGTGGTACCCCTAACCTCCATTTCCTCATCTCAGATAAATGATCATTGTGATACCTATCATCAGATGATAGTGATGATTAAGCCACATTACCTATGGTGGGGTGGAAGTGTGGGAACAAAGTGATACCAACCACATAGCAAGCAATGTGTATAACTGAGGTCAAATCATTCACACTGTCACTAAGATAATACAGTTTAATTAATATAACTTCAGACTGCATTAGCTGATTGCTAAGAACATTCAACAGAGTATAACTTCATGCTCCCATATGTTCAGTTCAGTCTCTGATACTTTTCATATAAATTGTTATCAATGGTTTCCTCACATCTATCTTTAAAACAGGACTGCAACATGTTGATCAAGTAATCTCTATCCAGTTTTCATTTTGTAGACTTACTTCAACTCATCCATTATGTTTGCATATATAAGCTTTTCCTGTCAACAACCTACAGGCATAGGACAAACACATAGAAATAAACAGTAGGTCACCTGTACATGTAATATGAGCTTCCTCCTTGGGAGAACAAGATTGGTGTTTCCAGGGGTCAGAAGGACACTGCCAGAGAGAGCTATCAGTTTTTCGACAGTGGATTCTATCTATCCAGTGGGGTCTAGAACCTTCCCTGGGAGGAAACAAGAAATCCAGAGTCCCAGTGTCCCCACAGCCAAGCTGTTTGCAGATCATGGACAAGGTCATGTGTTCCATGTGGCTGCTGCAGATACTGCCCCAAGTGTTGTTGTAGAAAATCTCCAGCCACCCAGAACACTCCTGGTCCTCATTCACCAGTCTAAGGGCCAGGAACTCTGAAATGGAAAAGAGGAAAACAGGGGTCAGTGAGCATTCAACTCTTACTGCTGTTTTTTCTTTATTCCTAAGTAGTGAGTGCTCATTGCTGACTCTCCTGAGGAAGTGCCCACTAGGTAGAAGACTGAAATTTTTGTCCCTTTAACCTGTTTTGCTAACTTGTACCTCTTTTTCTGTTTCTACAACAATGTAATATTAGCAAATGAATAGGCAGGAATACTGATCTGGGAGCTCTGCTGAAAGTGAATTCTTTATCTGCTATCTGACTAACCATCTGACAGATCCTAAAAAATGAGCATAAACAGAGGGTAGTAGAATAGTAGAGCTTCAAATATGTCCACTTCCCAATCCTGGGAGACTATGAATATTTCAGCTCACATTGCAAAAGGGCTTTTCAAACAAGATTAAGAAAATGGTCCTTTCTCTAGGCAAGATGGGACATGGCTGTATTCCAAGTTGATTGGAAGGCTAAAGAAGCATCCCATGTTCAAAGCTAGCCTCAGCAACTTAGCATGACTCTGTCTCAAAATAAAAAATAAACAAAAGTGTCATGGCTGTGGTCCTGTGGTTGAGTTCCTTGACTCAAGCCCAGTATCAAAATAACAAACAAAAACAACAACAACAACAACAAAATATTAACAAAAGTTTGCTTTCATTGTAAAATTATCCTGGATCATCCTGGATAGGATTTCCGCAATGTAATGACGTCCTTACACTGGTATCCTCACAATCAGATAAGCCATTCTGGCCCTCACCAGAGTGTGATGTGAACATGGAATGGTGAGACGGTTGAAACACTTTGGGTCTGAAGAAGGAAGGGTTCATACAAGGAATTCAGGCAACTTTTAGAAGTGGAAAAGTGTAAGAAAATGAGTCTTCCCAGAGCTTTGGCTGTTGCATCCTGCTCACACCTTGTTTATAGCCCACACAGACCCAGGTCCATCTTCTAACCTACACACTGTAAGGTGATAACTTTGTATTGTTTTAAGACCCTAAGTCTGTGGTAACTTGTTACAGAAGAAATATAAGACTAATTCAGTGGGTCAGGATGTTGCACTGGCAGGTAACGGAAGACTTATGAATGCTTTTAATGGACACTGTAGAGAATGACTGTGTCAGGGGACAGTGCTGTGATGGAAGGGGCAGAAGCTCAGCTGCTACAGCAGGAAATGAAAGCACCTCATCTTCTCCTCTGCTGGAAGGACAGGAATTGTGAGAGCACCACCTCACCACTGCACTGTCAGCAACTGCTCAACCCTGCCACAGGGCTCAGACATCATCCTTCAGACCCTTCCAGCCTATGCACAGAGTATATCACAGACCTGAGCAGATGACCCCAGCATCCTTCTTGTGACTGCAGTTGTGCTTCCCCCAGCCCTGGAAAGGGCACTGCCACACAAAGGCCTCCTCTCCTGTGCAGTTCAGCTCATCCAGCCAGATAGGCCCTGATCCCTCTCCAAAATGAGCAGAGACGGTGGCCTCCAGGGCCACTCCACAGCCCAGCTGTCTGCACACCACGTGGGCATCAATCAGGTCCCAGCTGTCATCACAGATGGAGCCCCAGGAGCCCTGCTGCAGGATCTCCACTCTCCCTGCACAACGACTGCCCCCATCCACCAGGCGGAGCTCTCTGCTGTCTGAGGAGAGACAGGGTCATGTCAGTGGGCATTTGCACAGCGAATGGGAAGGCTCTGTTGCTGGAAGTCTTGCTCACCTGAACAGTTGGCAGAGTGGCCCTCAGAGGCTGCAGAACCTGCTGGTTCAGACCAGGAGTCATTGCATTGGGGTAGCAGCTGGGTCTGGTTTCCTACAGATGGGAGTAGAGAGCAGGAAATGGAATTAAACTTGACAATAATCCAGTGATGGCATCTGAAAGCTGTAGCCCACAATCAGTAATTTCCTATCTTCTATTCAAGGATTCTGCTTCTGCTTCTAACACACACTTCTCTCTTAGTTAAATGAAGTGTAAATCTACTAAAGTCCAAGGAATGACTTTAGGAAAGTGTGAATATAGCAGTGCTGTTGGAAAGTACTGCACGTCTTCCAGGGAAGCAAGACTTAGGGGTCAAGTTCAGAGAAAAGTAAAAACTAGAATCAGTGATTTTTCCTTGGAGGCATTTGGGCATTCAAATGTAGTAGGTAAGACTCTGAAAATCTCAGCATGTTTGCCAATTTTTCCTGGGAGTGCACAAGTAAAATTTAGGTTGGACCAAAGAAGAGGAATCATATTAAACACCCAGGAAACTTGTATTGTATTTTATAGAAAACATTTTTATCAGAGATGGTGCCCAGTATCTCACAACTTCAATTGTTTTTTTTATAATGTGATCTACCCTAAATAAAGTGAATTGAAGAAGTTAGATAAATTTCTTTCTGAAGTTTTTGTAGGATAGATTTTTTTCATATATGATGCCTGTCAATCATAAAAGCCTCATATATAAATAGCAAATTATGTATAAAACAAATTAGACAAAGGAGAAAAATAAAAAGATTGTCATAGAGTGGTATTGGTAAATCCTTATAGCTAATTCAAATAATCACGATTACATTTTATAAATTAAATGACATGACATGAATCTTGGTAGAAAATAACAAAAAATCAATAAATATTTGAGAGTTATGTATAACTAAATAGATCTCAGTAAAAAAGACCAATAAAGTCAGTGACTAGAAGTAAGAAACCAGAGGATGAGTCTAACAGCAGTGTAGGTTAACACAAAATAGAAATATTAACTGGAAGAACATGGGAAAATACATAGTGAAGAAGAGAAAGACAAAAACAAAAGAAATATAATAGGATACTAAGAGAGATGGTGAGAGAATTTGACATTCCTATTTACTTGACGAGTTTTAGGTTATTAAGGCCATATTTGATAGAGAAAAAAAACAAATTAGAAAATATACAAAGTTAGATATTCAACACACATTTAGTTTATAAAAATACCCACAAAATCTGTGACACTCTATCTATTGACCTCTGCAGTCCATTCCTCCTGCCCTCCAATCTGGGCTGACAGTGGTGAGTTGTCAATAAGCAACAGAGTTTGGTGAAGGCAGCACAGCTTGACTTAGGAACCTAGCTAAGAAAGTCAGGCCTCCTTCTCTTGACATTGGATGTTTGCTTAATGGGAAATCTACTCTGTGGACTATCATGTGGGAGAGAGTATTTGCATGTTGTTCTGTCAGTAGCCACAGTTGAACTTCAAGCTACCAGCCATGTGAATGAACTATCCTGGTTTCCCAGGTTGGTAAAGTCTAAAATTACCTCAGCTGGAGATGAGATCCAAGTGCAACCTCATGAGAGACCACAAGAAGCAGCTGCCAAGAATCATTGCTAAATTTATGAATCTGGAAATAATGGGCAAAATGAAATGTATTTTTATTTGTGTTGCTATTTTTGGGAGGTGGGTGGGTGATGCATTAAAAAGCCATACCCACTAGGACAATGATATTTACTGTGAAACAGCAATCATACATGTCCATGTTTATTGTAGCACTCTTCATAATAGCTACAGAATGGAATCTGATGTCCATTGGAAGAAAAATTCATAAAGAAAATGTAGTATAAATATGGCCATCAAGAGGACTGGAGTCCTCCCTTTTGCATCAAAATTGATGGAATTGGTGGAATCATAGGACATTATGTTAAGTTCAATAACCCAGATACAGAAAGACAAGTGCCACATGGTCTCCATCATATGTGAAAGCTAACAGTTTATTTTATGGAATTTGGCAATTACACTGTAGTTATGTAAATATTCTTGATAATTTTTTAAGAGTAAAAAACATATCTTTTTTGTGTATATTTTTATTTATATATGATAGACTGCATTACAATTCTTATTACATATATAGTGCATAATTTTTCATATCTCTTTTTGTATACATAGTATAACCTCACCAGTTCATGAGGAACATATCTTATCCACCTACTCTTTGAGTGTTACTCAGAAATATTTCATATATATTCAGTGATAAATGTGGCAGGATGAGGGGATAATATAGAAAAATAATAGCATTGGGGAATCTGGGTTAGGGTTATCTTGGAATTTTGTATTATCTTTGAAGCTTATTCAGAATTCTCAAATTATCAAGAAAAATAATCAAATACATGAAAGAGAAAAAAGGGAAAACAAAGCCACTAAAAAGTAACTGTGAAAACTAATTGTGATGTTTAGATACTGGCTGTATCAGAAAAGCTCATGTGTGAGACAATGAAGTAAATTTAAAAGTGAAATGACTGGGTTGTAAATGTCTTAATCAGCAGATTAATCCTTTGATAGTGTTAACTGGGTGGTGACTATAGTCATGTAGGTAGTGGCTGCATGAGATTGGTCCCTGATGGGATTTATATGTTGTCTTTGTTGAGCAGAGTTCTCCCTATTTCTGCTTCTTGGTGGCCATCTCCTGACATCCTTTCCCCTGCTTCATTCTTCAACCATGTTATTCTGCCTTACCTCAAACCACAAAGAATGGAGTAGGATATCTATGGACTGAGACCTCTGAAACCTTGGGCTTCAAAATAAATTTTTTCTCCTAAAATTGTTCTTGTCAGGTCTTTCTGTCACAACACAAAACCTGAATAAAATACTAGTAGAATTAATCCCTAGGACATTTCACTAAAAGAAACTCATAAAATAACATCAAAAACATAAAACACCAAGAATATACCTAGTAAAAGTTATGTATAATCTCTGAGGGAAATTAGAGGTATATCTTGTAAGTCAATTAGCTTCATATTGATGTTTAGGTCAAATCCAAACTCAATCTAAATGCCATCATTCTATTATTGAATTAAATATATCATACTGTTTGCAAAATTTATTTGAAATTCAAAAACCAAGTATAACCAATGCAGTGGGCAGGAAAAACAACACAATTAGATCAGTTACTTTAAAGTTATCTTTTTAAAAGTTAATGAGACATACTATAAACTTAAAATAATTAAGTTGGTATGCATGGCTACAACCACAGAAAATAATAGAATGGACCAGAATGAAGCATAGAACAAGAGTCAGATGTATCTGCACCCTGTGTATTTCAAAGGTAACACAGCAATGGGGAAAAGTCTTTTCAGTAATGATTATGAATCAATTCTGGTTATGCAAACAATGATGTGAAACAATTTTCATACCATGCACTACATACAATACCATTTCCAGAAAGATTGTGCAACTATATGTAAAAGAAACATAAGTAAACATGTATAAGATACTCTTGAAAAATATTTTTATGATCTTATAATAACAAAGTTCTTTTTAAAGGGACACTAGAACACTACAAGTACAAGAAATTATGATATGCTGTGCTTCATTAAGAACAAGAATTTGACTCTAGAAAAAATGTCTTATAAACAAACAGAGGTCATAAGAAAAAACAAAGATTAATAAAGATATACAAATATATCCACATTTGCACCAAATGATATTGACATGGTAATTTGTAGGATAATTATTTGGGTACTCAGAAAGTGCAAACAACTCAAATCTCCACATCATTTGAATGAATCAATATACAATCCTGTAGTTATTTGCAGAAAACTCTACAACAATAAAAATAGGACTCAGCTAAAAATAAAAACATGGGTAAATTGTAAACATTAGGTTGAGTCAAAGAAGACACAAAAAGAGAACCTAGTGCATGATTTTACATGAAGCTCAAAATCTGAAGAAAATATTCTTTGGCAGCAAAAGTTAGAATGTTCTTCTTTGGAGGGGAGGAAGGCACAATGACTGGAGGAATGTGAGGGTGACTTCTGGGAGCTGCTGATGCTTTCTGATAGTTCAGGCTGAGGACTATGAGCTGTCCTTCATTGTTATATAGTGTTATCTATGAATTTCAATAAATTATAATGTTTACTTAAAAACAATCCTTTTAATATTTCTTGACAGGGCTGAAATATGAATGATCATTAAGAATCATAATTCTTGGGCTGGGTATGTGGCTTAAGCGGTAACACACTTGCCTGGTATGCGTGGTGTGCTGGGTTGGATCCTCAACACCACATAAAAATAAAATAAAGATGTTGTGTCTACCGAAGAACTAAAAAATAAATATTAAAAAATCCTCTCTCTCTCTCTCTCTCTCTCTCTCTCTCTCTCTCTCTCTTTCTTTCTTTCACTCTCTCTCTCTCTAAAAAAAAAAAAAGAATCATAGTTCACCACTGTGGGAGACCATCGTCCATCGTTGCATGTGATTGAGTTTCCTCCCAGGCAGGGTGTGAGGCTCTCAGTCACTTTTAATGTGGCAGAGGTTTCCCAACTCTTCTTGTCTGTGTGGAGGCTTGTCTCACCATTGCCCCAAAGATCCAATTATCCCACCTGACCTTGCCACATTGCCCCCTTTAACCTTCATTGGATGGGATTTTCCCCAGAATTTTTTGTTCCCCAATAAAAGCCCTCTCCCTAGTGTGCTCTCTCTCTCTCTCTATGCTCTTCAATAAAACCTTGCTGCCCCCCTGGGGAGCTTGAGGCTGAGGGTTGAAGGAGCCCTTCCAGAGCTGGTTTAAAGGTAAAATGGTGTCTGTGTCTTTAATTTAAACTCCCTGAGAATTTTCCCATGTGACTGAACCTTTCACACAGTCCGCGCTGTCCATGGACTAAACACCACAAAATGTCTCATTTTTGAAGTCAGCTTTCCATGCTATCTGCTCTTAGAGACATGTCACTCTCCTACCAGTCAGCCCCTTCCTCTCTTACCTGAGCAGACCACAGAGGCTGTGTTTCCATGCGCACAGGCAGGAACACCCAGGGCAGTCACAGGGCAATTCCACAAGAAGGACTCAGACCCTGAGCAGTGAAATCTGTCTCTCCAGATCTCATCTCCTCCTTCCACAAAGTATGCTCCCTTTGGGGTGGAGATGGCGACTCCACAGCCCAGCTGACGGCAAACTACATTTGCATTGGCCATATTCCAGTGGGAGGCACAGAGTGTTCTCCAGCCTCCAGAGGTCTTCATCTCCACTTGACCTTCACACTGAGAGCTGCCATTTTTCATGAGATGAACATCTGTATATTCTGTTAGAAGACAGGGTTTTAGCAGCATTACATATTTTTCTTACCCCAATAGATTGTGTAGGGAGGTTAACTTCCTGTTGTGAGTCTCACCTGAGCAGACAACATGCACAGCCCCTCTGTGGGGGCAGCTGCCTGCAGGACAGGGCACTCTGGGGCAGAACCAGAGGCTAGGCTCCTGCCCCTTACACTGGAACTCTTCAGCCCAGATCTGTTCACTATCCTCTGTGAAGGACATGTTCCCCAGGACAGATGCAGCCTTGCCACACCCCAGCTCTGCACAGATGACCTGGGCTGTGGGTAATGTGAAATTCCCATCAGATACTGGAATCCATCCTTCTCCAGAATTCACTTCCACTCGCCCAGAGCAAGGTCCATGTCTTCCAACCAGATGCACAAATCCTATGGGAGAAAAAACAACAATTACCAGTGAATAGAAGGAGGAAGCTACAATTCACAGGTTATATTGTCAAATCTTTTTGTTTTTCAGGGTTGCCGTGTCAGGGCTTGGATTCATCAACAATTGGTGCCTGAATGTGATTTCTTGGAGGAACTGTGTGAAGCCAGATTTTGGAGAAGGAATTTGTAATGTCCTTTCTAAATTGCTGATTCATGGTATGAATATACACAGTGTCATATATATATATATATATATATATATATATATATATACATACATGAATATGTGTGTTTGCAATAAATGTGTGTGTGTGTGTGTGTAAAATTGATTTTTCTTTTATAGGGACATATTATTCTTTATATTATGAAGGTATCTTTGATTTTTCATGTTGTTTGACATTCTCCCTCCTTTTTTTTTTGTACAGAATCCGTATTTATTCACTAAATGTGTACTCAGTTTAGAAAAAGTCTCAGATTAATTTTTCACTATTTTATGCCCTGAAACTTTCAATTCACAGATTCACAGATAGTGATTCCAACTAAGACAACATTTGTTAATTAATTAAAAACTTCAATGTGTATTCATAACTGACAATTTATTTTTATTTTCCATCTAGGGATGAGAAAAGGAACCACTAAATAGTGTGAATCTGAGACAGAAGCTAGGTTAGACTAAAATAATCATGATTCTTTACATCATCTTTCCCATTAAAGAAGACAAAAATGAAATTTAAACTATGAACAAAAGTTATCCAGAGATGTAAGATTTTTGTGTGTGTGTATGTGTTTTTAAGGGATTATTTTGTTTCTAATAGAGTTTGAAGAATCCATTATACATCTTTATACATCTATTGAAGCTGATCAGGAAGTGATTTTAAGTATGGGTTCACACCTTTGGGAAGGTGTCTAGTTACAGATGTGAAATTATAATATAATAGTCATTTTATGTAGTGAAGAAATTCAGCAAAAAACCTTCCTCAAGAGAATAGCTTGTTCATTAATTTCCCTCTAAGTAATCCATCAAAGTGAAAAGAACATCAAAAACATTAATCTATCTTTTTAAAATTGTTACTTAAAATGTTACATTTGGGATATTCCCTTCTCTCTCTGAAGCTGATGTACTAACATGAAGTGTGGATTCCTGAAGTGTTACTAAAATGGTAATTTTAATTTATATCATTATTATAGAGGAGCAATGATAGTGTACCTGATTTATAGAGTCAAAATTAAGATATACAAATTCCAAACTGAAATCAGTAATCTTTAGGAGGTTATGTTTTAAAGAGTGTGAGACCTGCAGGCACATGATAAAATCAGCGACCAATACAGTTGTCTAGTGACAGGAACAACAAAGATCAGCTTCCAGAACAGAAACCTGACTGGCTGAAGGCTCTGCCTGTGGATGTAGCCAGGTCTTCTTCTTTGTGAACTCTGATTTCCACTCAGTCACTTTCACATAGATGTCCAAAACCAGTAGCACGAGGGAGGACCACCAGGTTTGCATGACTGATTGTAGTTTTTCAGTGGCACTATTTCCTCTTTATTTTCCTTTTTTTAAAAAAAAATATTAAATGTATTTGGCCCATTTCTAGCATCCAAGTGTTATAATGTCTCAGTTGAGGTAGAATGACATTACATCCAAGCTCTATCTAATATAATCCACCGGGGTATCTGAATACAGTGTTCTCTGAGTGAAATGTTTGGAGGTATCTTTATTTTAGGCACTGAATTCTATTGAAATATCAAACCTTTGTCAGAAACTTTTGTATAATTTCTACTAATAAAAATTGGAAGCATTTCAGATAAAGAGATAGATCTCCCAATTGGGTTTTACCTTTACTCTTCTACTTTTCACAGATCAGAGAGACCTAATCCAGCTATAGCCTGAGAGGATGCAGAATAAAATTCATATAGTACATGTACCTAGAACATAAACTGAGCATTTGTCATTGTACTGAACAGAGATCCTGAGGTGTTCAGAGAGCAGTATTGTTGGAAACTCAGCAATACATTTATTTATCTTTAAAAATACATTGAAGATTTATTATGTTTCGGGCATTGTATTATAAAGTAACATATATCCAAAATCCCTTGAAAATTGTTTTGAAAGAAGATGCAATTTAGAAATTAGAGCCAGCTACTACCTATACAGAATGTAGTTATTCTTGGGAGATCATTTACTTTGTTGCACTTAATAAAATATAAACACAACAAAGTGTGGTTCAGAAGCAGGTATACATCATTCTATAAACCCTAGTGATGGTGTGTATAATTATGCTCCACAAATTCTTCAGTAAATAGGAAATTCTTATATCATAGTGGTTTAGAAATCTTCATTAGTTCTATTTGCAGAAATACATATCAGTTTTGGTAATATGTCAACGGTATAAAGGGATATGGAGAAATAATTCCCCTTCCTCATCTGCATTACCAGATGGTTGAGGTAAATAGTACTACAATATTATTTTTCACTCTTTCTTTCACTTGTCTTGCTTATACAGAATATATTCTCAAATAAAACAAAGGTTCCATATTGAACCTACCACTCAGTCTGCACAATCTACAATCTTAAAATCTCAGAGGTATGAATGTTGAGATTGGTTCATCTGGGGCTCTAGTGTGTGGAAACATAATTGCCAACTATTTGTTCAGAGTACCCCTTCTTCTTGATTCATAGGGAATGAAACATGAAAATGGGAACATTATTTAAGAGGTCTAACTTAGTAGAATTTATTTGCAATGTCTGTTTTTACAGTCTTTTGAGTTAACTGCTATGCATCTTTCCCTCAAAGTCATAAATAGTATTTATATTGGAAATTTGTAATTTGATCTTTGACACATAATAGCACACCTAATGTCTGAGGACTTTTTGAAAAAAAAAACTTTAAATATAATATTCAATGCTGATTCTTTTACTGCAGATTCATATTATAAACAATTCAGACTCAGGTGTCTGTATCACCAGGGAAACCGTCATCTTCAGGTTACATTTCCCTTCTTTTGTTAGTTATGCACATATAACTGAAGTTCCCAACAATGAACACATACTGAATTTTAAAAATAGTGGTATATATACATATGATGGATTGCAATAAAATGATCTGATTGAGATCTGTGGATAAATCTCCCAAACATAAAATCAAATAAAAGTATAATAAACAAAACCATGTGAGGCAAACCAACTCAAATAGATTTGATGCACAAGGCTGGTATAGCTCACATGAACATCTAAAGGGAAAGTATGAGGAATGGGGACCTGATGCTTTTAGGACCCCCCATCACCCATGATTCTTCCCAATCCCTGATTTTTTGTCTTTGATCTTCAGGAATAACTTTTGCAGATAGTTGAGAAATGCAGGTCCTGGTGCGCTGCTTGTTCCCAAAGAGTGTAAATTCAGGGCAAAGACTTTAACTGACTTGGCCCACCATTATGACCAGGGAGAGTGGAACAGTGTGAATGAGCACATCAAGTCAACCCAGTGGTGAGAATGAGGACTGGCTCCCCAAAGGAAGAGATTCTCAGCAGAACATTAGGATAAGAAAATTTGTGGAGTCTGTGTAAATACAACTACAGTAATTTTATGAGGGTGTTTATTAAATATATTATCCTTTTAATGGATAATTCTGTTTTCTTTAGCAAATGCACTTATTTTCTAAAACACAGGTCAATACCATGTTGGTAATTCTATTTTCTATAAAATTTCACAAGAAGAATAATTTTGTCCATGTTACCAGGACATTTATGCAGAAGGCTGGGGTGAAGAAAGAAATTATGTATAAAATATGATAAAAAATTATTAAGAATTATGTCTTTATGAGTAATAGGCTTCAAGGGGATTGAAAATGAATACAAATACAGATTCAAACACACATATGTATATGTATGTGGAATTTAGTACTTATAAAACATTCACATGCCTATATTTAATTTTATATAATAATATTTTAAATTATTAGACTATATGAATATTTATAACTATCGAAAATTTAGGGATAGGTATTAATTAAAAGAAAATTAGTCTCTGTTTGGTATTGACTTGTATAGTCAAATATGTATATGTCAAAAAAGAGTCATAAAACATGGAGAAAAAATGATACCTACTCTTTATAAAATATCAGAGTGGATTATAAAGAAGTCCCATTTCTAGGGATTTCCATTAAATAATTTTTTCATTAGGTCCTCAAACATGACTTTTCAATATTGACTAAAGTTCTTCAATTATGTGGTATAACACAAATCCTTTCATTGGACTAGAATTGGGTAAGGAATTAATATTGTTAATAATGATTATTTTGCTTTAAAACAAAATTTCACTGCCACACAGTTGTGGAGGATGGAAGTGGGACTGAGAGTGTCAGTAGGGTTGGCTCCTTCTCTGGAGACTATCAGAGAGATCCTTCCTTGCTCTGCCCTCACTTCTTCTGGTCAATAGCAGTCCTTAGTTTGCCTTGGCTTACAGAAGCTTGGCTTTAGTTGCTGCCTCTCTACTTACCTCTCCCTCCTTTCTGTGTCTATGTGTCTCGCCTTTTCTGAGGATACAAGTTGGGTTGGACTAAGGTTTGAGTGACAGACTTTATAAAATGTTTGACAAATTCAATGAAAATCAGAAGGATGAAACTTCCCCACTTTGTTTCTCCTATAGTAACTGGCTCTTCTAAATCTGTGATGCTTCAGTGAAGATTTTTTAATCTCCTTTTCTGAGACATCACACTTAGAGAAAGAACACAGCCATGTCTCAATATGATCAACTGTCCAAGGAGTAGTAAGATTGGTAGAAGTAGGCAAACTTGCCTTAGCTCCTAGAGACTAAGAAGTGATTGATAACAATGAAATGAAAAGAAAAAGAAAAAAGTAGGGATTCTTTATTTTTCCTCTTGGTTGCATGTTGTTTCCATCATGACCACCACTGGAAATTACGTGAGGCATAGCAAGGATATTTCAATATCTGCACAAGACTGGTATTTTCATAACATTTGAAGTCTTAATATTTAAATAATTCCAT